CCATCAATTCTATCAAATATATGATAACAAATATAACATACAGTATTTCCTTGGGGTCCGAGTTTCAGAGCCAGCTTTGATGGGTACCAGGCTAGAGTGTCATTCATATAAACCGGGTTTGGCCCCTAAGTGCCTTGAATGCAAATATGAGCATTTTATTAACATGCGTCATATGTTATAGGTGAGTGAGTGAGTGGGTTAGTAGGTGAGAGAGTGTGGGTTACAAGGTGAGTGAGTGAGTGGGTTAGTAGGTGAGAGAGTGAGTGGGTTACAAGGTGAGTGAGTGAGTGGGTTAGTAGGTGAGAGAGTGAGTGGGTTACAAGGTGAGTGAGTGAGTGGGTTAGTAGGTGAGAGAGTGAGTGGGTTACAAGGTGAGTGAGTGAGTGGGTTAGTAGGTGAGAGAGTGAGTGGGTTACAAGGTGAGTGGGTTACATCGATTTCCAATTCAAACATATCGTATTATTTCACAGGATCAAATATTTTCACATGGCGATGTCCACATGAACATCTGTATGTTGCGTTTTCACGATTGGCTTTAAATGGTTTTGGAACATTTTTTGGTTGTCGAATCCAAATTCTAAATACAGTATCTTGGTAAAGTTGCTGTTTGTTCTTCAGAGTATATCGTACCCAAACACAAAATACGCTTTCCACGAGAACGTTTCATTAGTTTTACGACTTAATCACCCGGGCCTCAATTGAAATACTGAAGTGAGACTCCTTCCCTAAATTATAAAACTGAAGTGATTTATACGCGGTATAACATTCCATCTCTTCTAATTTTGGTTTGACATTGTAAATCGTACTGGGGTTGCCACAAGTGGGTATAGATAAAGTGTATATATGACTTGCCGGTGGGCAAGGCGTCAGTGCAAGGGATCTCTGCCGCCGACAGCAACATGAAGGCTTGGGCTTTACTGATTGTCTTGGGCGTTTACGGTGTAGCTGCGAAACAGTCGTTTCATGGGTAGGTGGATTCTTTACTGAGAGTGAGTGAGTGAGAGAGTGGGTTAGTAGGTGAGTGAGTAGGTGATTGGTTGAATGAGTGAGTTTGTAGGTGAGTGTGTTACTAGGTGATTGGGTGAATGAGTGAGTTTGTAGGTAAGTGAGTGAGTAGGTGATTGGGTGATTGGATGAATGAGTGAGTTTGTAGGTAAGTGAGTTAATAGGTGATTGGGTGATTGGGTGAGTCAGAGAGTGGGTTAGTAGGTGAGTGAGTAGGATGATTCGGTGAATGAGTGAGTGGAGTAGGTGAGTGTGGAGTTACTAGATAGGTGATTGGAGCTAGTGATGAGTGAGTGAGTAGGTGGGTGAGTGGTGGAGTGGGTTAGTAGGTGAGAGGTAGGTGTTGGGTGAGAGTGAGTGAGTGTCTTAGTAGGTGAGTGAGAGTGGGTGGGTTACTAGGGTGAGAGTGGGGTTAGTAGGTGAGTGGAGTGTGGGTTAGTAGGTGAGTGAGTGAGTGAGTGGGTTAGTGGGTGAGAGTGGAGTGGGTTAGTAGGTGAGAGAGTGAGTGGGTTAGTAGGTGAGAGTGGTGAGTGGGTCAGTAGGTGAGAGAGTGAGTGGGTTAGTAGGTGAGAGAGTGAGTGGGTTAGTAGGTGAGAGAGTGAGTGGGTTAGTAGGTGAGAGAGTGAGTGGGTTAGTAGGTGAGAGAGTGAGTGGGTTAGTAGGTGAGTGAGTGAGTGAGTTGGTAGAGTGAGTGAGTGAGGTGGGTTAGTAGAGAGTGAGTGGTGGGTTAGTAGGTGAGAGTGAGTGAGTGGGTTAGTAGGTGAGAGTGAGTGGGTTAGTAGGTGAGGTTAGTGAGGTAGTAGGTGAGAGTGAGTGGGTTAGTAGGTGAGAGAGTAGGTGGGTTAGTAGGTGAGAGAGTGAGTGGGTTAGTAGGTGAGAGAGTGAGTGGGTTAGTAGGTAGAGAGTGAGTGGGTTGAGTGGGGTGGTAGTGAGTGAGTGGGTTAGTAGGTGAGAGTAGTGAGTGGGTTAGTAGGTGAGAGAGTGAAGTGGGTTAGTAGGTGAGAGTGAGGTAGTCAAGAGGTGAGAGTAGTGAGTGGAGGGTAGTAGGTATTGGAAGTGAGTGGGGTTGAGAAAGAGGGTGGGTTGAAGTAGGTGAGAGTGAGGTTGGAGTGGAGTTGAGTGGGTGCGTGTTTGGTTGGGTTAGTAGGACGAGGGTTGGGTGGAGTTGGTAGAGTGAGAGAGTGAGTGGGGTAGTAGGTGAGGTGAGTGAGTGGGTAGTGGATGAGAGAGTGGAAGGTAGGTTGCAGAAGTGAGAGAGTGAAGTGGGTTTAGTAAGGTGAGAAGTGGAGTGGGTTAGTAGGTGAGAGAGTGAGTGGGTTAGTAGATGAGAGAGTGGAGTGGGTTAGTGGGTGCATTGAATTGGGTGGGTTAGTAAGGTGAGAGTGAATTTGAAGTGGTGGGTTAGTAGGTGAGAGAAGTGAGTGGGTTAGTAGGTGAGTGAGTGAGGTGGGTTTAGTGGGTGAAGGTTGAGTGGGTTAGTAGGTGCGTGGTTGGGTGGGTTAGTAGTAGGTGCGTGTTTGGGTGGGTTAGTGGGTGCGAGGTTGGGTGGGTTAGTAGGTGAGAGAGTGGGTTAGTAGGTGTGAGAGTGAGTGAGTGGGAGTGAGTGGGTGAGAGTGAGAGTGGGTGGGTTAGTAGGTAAGAGTGAGTGAGTGGAGTTAGTGGGTGCATTAGTAGGATTGAGCAGAGAATGGGTGAGTGGGAGAGGTGGGTGGGTTAGTAGGTGAGAGAGTGGAGTGGGTTAGTAGGTGAGTAGTGATGGGTTAGTAGGTGAGAGGTTGGGTAGGTTAGTAGCGTGAAGGTGAGAGAAATGGAGTAGGTTAGTAAGGTGGGTTAGTAGAGTGCGTGGTTGGGTGGGTTAGTAGGTTAGTGGTTGGGTGGGTTAGTAGGTGCGAGAGTGGAATTGGGTTAGTAATGGGTGAGTTAGTGGGTGCGTTGTTGGGGTAGTAGGTGAGAATGGGTGGGTTAGTAGGTGTGTGGTTTGAGTGGGTTAGTAGTTGAGTGAGTGAGTGGGTTAGTAGGTGCGTGGTTGGGTGGCTTGGTGAGAGTGAGCGAGTGAGTAGATGGGTGCGTGAGTGGGTAGATGGGTGGGTGAGTGGATGGTTTAGTGAGTGAATGAATACGGGGTGGTCGGATAAGTTGGTGCGTGTCAAAAATGGGGCCTATCCCGTTATTTGCGACAGAAGAGTCGTATCACATATTGTATGACCTTTGACTCTAACAGGAGAACGTATTGATACGAATAGGCAGGGACTTTTCTGTCATTTTGGGCCAACAGAGGTTTCAAATTCCGACAGCCTTTGGTCTATATCTTTATAATTGCTTATATATTTTTATATGTTTCAGACACCGCTTAGTGTCGGTCATAGCCAAGAACAAGGAACAGCTGCATGTTTTGAGTGAGATCCTGAGGACTGGAGAGCCATGGGCAAGTTTGTTTGTTTATTTGTTTGTTTGTTTGATTGTTTGATTGCTTTAACGCAATGCAGTGTCCACAATATGGCTCAACGACAAATTTGATCCACGCAATTATCACGTCTATGTTAGGTGAGGTAAAATGGGGTTTAACGTCGTACTTGAGAATATTTCGCTCATTTGGCGACGTGCATGTGTGTGTATGTGTATGTGCGGCTGCTTGTACTAGCCCAGACTTGAGCTGGTTTTATAGTGCTAGCTCACTGAGATACCACTGAGATACTGACTCCGAGCCAACCAGTCCTTGTTGTACCCATTAATACCGAGCGCCAGACAGGGACCAACAAGTACCATATTTTAACTTATTTTGGTATGACGCGGTCGGGGATCGAACCCCCGACCTTTCGCTCTCCGGGCGGACGCTCTAACCACTACAACACCGGAGGCGGCACGTCTGTGTTAAAGTATAGGGCTACGATCGTCTTGGCGCTAAGGCTCACGTGTATATATACCTTGACCTAAAGCGATACTAGCTCTAAAGTGGTCATAACTCCCATACCTTAACCAGGGAGACTATATAAGGTGGTGGTCAGGCTCGCTGACTGGGTTGACACATGTCATCGGTTCCCAATTGCGCAGATCGATGTTCATGCTGTTGATCCCTGGATTGTCTGGTCCAGATCCAATTATTTACAAACCGCCGCCATATAGCTGGAATATTGCTGAGTGCGACGTAAAACTAAACTCCTTGAAATCAACAATCATTCTAAAGGCTTCTTCTGAAGTTTGGCTCTTGTAGTTTTAAACTTCCAACTGTTTTCTTCTCCAGGTCGATGTGTGGAGCTTTGCTGGCATCAACAGAACCTCGGAGATCCGAGTGCCTCCTTCCAGCTATGGGCTGTTCAGCACACTGATGCAGACCGCCCAAATACCCATTACCATCATGGAAAACGACATTGAACTGCACGTAACAGATTCAAACTATTTATAAGAGACCATGTTTCTCACAGGAGCTCGTATTTGAAATTCTACCATGAAATTAAAAAATGCCAGACCCTGATTGGTTAAAAATGGATGCCCATTTTTGCATTGATATCTCTTTTGAATTATGCTTTTTCACACCCTGCGTATAAACACAATTATTTGTTAACAGAATTATAGCAAGGGCTGCAGATATTATGAGGGGAATCAAAACATATTACTTTCAGTTCATTTGTGTGTTTTTTTGTCAAGCCGGACGACATTTGTTTTTCCGAATTTGACGAGAAAACGTTATTAATACCACCATTATCATAGTTGTGTTGCAAAGCCAGAATAATCTTTTATCGACATTTTCCAGAAAATACAAATCAAATTTATTAATTAATTTCAGAATCTTGCTTTGGGATTTTTTTTGTCAAGCCTGACGACATTTGTTTTTCGAATTTGTCGAGAATACGTTATTAATACCATCATCATTATGTTTTTTTGTTGTAAAGGCAATTTTTTTTATCGACATTTATTAGAAAATACAATTTTTTAATGTCAAAGAGATTGTCCCTTTAACCATGGCGCCTAATATCAGATACACATTTCAGGTTGATGGAGCGCGCCAGCAAGTCGACCCTCGGCCCCCACGAGAAGACGTCCCCCTTCATAAACTGGTCAGGAGGGGCCACCACCCACACAGGCTATAAGAGATATCAGTCAGTGAGTATCCCTCTCTACGATATACAAACAACAACAAATGATAATGATAATGCTGATGTTGATGACGATGTTGATGATGAATACGACGATGATGATGGTGAAGGCGACGACAAGGATGATGGTAGCACGATAAGATGATGATGATGTTGTTGGCAGCTTGAGTAGCAAAAATTGCATGCTGATGCTATAGCTATGATGATGATGATGATGATAATGCTGATGTTGATGACGATGTTGATGATGAATACGACGATGATGATGGTGAAGGCGACGACAAGGATGATGGTAGCACGATAAGATGATGATGATGATGTTGTTGATGATGATGATGATAATGCTGATGTTGATGACGATGTTGATGATGAATACGACGATGATGATGGTGAAGGCGACGACAAGGATGATGGCAGCAACGATAAGATGATGATGATGTTGTTGATGATAATCATGAAAATGTTGCTGCTGCTGCTGAATATGATGAAGATGACGACGACGATGATGATGGTGACGACGACGATGCTGCTGCTGATTTTTATCGTTTTTTTGCGTGTCAGATTGTGGACATTATGACTGGGATGAGGAACAGTTATCCAAATCTCGTCCAGGAGGTCGGCAACCTGAGTCCCCAAACCCACGAGGGACGAAACATCGCATACATCAGGGTAAGGTCCTCTCATCTAGTTTACCCCCCAAACCCCCACGAATAGTCAGGGCTAACAATTAGCCAACCTGATTGGAAGAGCGGGCCTCTCTCCCGCCAATGATGAACCCCTAGATTGTTCAGCAGTTTCCGTTCCGATTCTCAAAATGGCCGCTACAGCAGCCATCTTGAACGATAACTATTTATTACCACAACTATATACATTTGACCTGGATGTAACCATTGTACTTTGACCAAACTGAACACTTAAACCTCTTATGGTCAATACTCCATGCTCCAAATGTAATGTAATTTGGTTTCAAACTAAACTCTTTGCCAGGTCTGTATCTTCGGGTTTTCGTCCTCGGTTTTTATCGAGACGGTATCTAAATATAAATGCTAATATTTATTGTCCCGCCTTGACTTCAGAACTTCAGCTGCAAAATCAGAAAGGTTTCTCTCATGAAATTTGTTTGTGTAAATAGTTTTGGAATAAATAACAAACGCATTACAGAATTGTTTTTGCTGGCCAACAGTTCATTTTCTATTCAACAATCTGACGCATTATCATTATAGTTGCAGTATTGATTCCTATTTCTCACAGTTTGGTACCGGAGGAGTTAAGCCGGTGATATTCATCGAGTCACTGATTCACGCCAGGGAGTGGATTGCTGGAGCATCTGTTTTGTACTTCATGGATCGGGTAAGTAGCGGGGCAACAAGCTAGCAGACACACGTGGGCGGGGCAACAAGCTGAGTAGCTGGCAGACACACGTGGGCGGGGCAGTAGCTAGTATTGCAGAGACACACGTGGGCGGGGCGAGTAGCTAGCAGACACCACATAGGCGGGACGAGTAGCTACCAGAGACACGTGGGCGGGGCGAGTAGCTAGCAGACACACGTGGGCGGGGACGAGTAGCTAGCAGACACACGTGGGCGGGACGAGTAGCTAGCAGACACACGTGGGCGGGGAGAGTAGCTAGCAGACACACATGGGCGGGACGTAGCAGTAAGCGGGGCAGTAGCAGACACACGTGGGCGGGGCGAGTAGCTAGCAGACACACATGGGCGGGGCGTAGCTAGGACACACGGGGCGAGTAGCTAGCAGACACACATGGGCGGGGCAAGTAGCTAGCAGACACACGTGGGCGGGGCGAGTAGCTAGCAGACACACGTGGGCGGGACGAGTAGCTACCAGAGACACATGGGCGGGGCATAAGACAGGGCGAGAGTAGCTAGCAGACACACATGGCGGGGCGGGGGAGAGTAGCTAGCAGACAAACGTTGGCGGGACGAGTAGCTACCAGAGACACATGGGCGGGGCAACTAGCTAGCAGACACACATGGGCGCTGAGAGTAGCTAGCAGACACACGTGGGCGGGACGAGTAGCTACCAGAGACACATGGGCGGGGCGAGTAGCTAGCAGACACACATAGGCGGGACGAGTAGCTACCAGAGACACATGGGCGCTGAGAGTAGCTAGCAGACAAACGTGGACGGGACGAATAGCTACCAGAGACACATGGGCGGGGCGAGTAGCTAGCAGACACACATGGACGGGACGAGTAGGTACCAGAGACACATGGGCGGGGAGAGTAGCTAGCAGACACACATGGACGGGACGAGTAGCTAGCAGACACACATGGGCGCTGAGAGTAGCTAGCAGACACACATGGACGGGACGAGTAGCTACCAGAGACACATGGGCGGGGAGATTAGCTAGCAGACAAACGTGGGCGGGGCGAGTAGCTAGCAGACACACGTGGGCGGGGCGAGTAGCTAGCAGACCAACGTGGGCGGGGCGAGTAGCTAGCAGACACACATGGGCGCTGAGAGTAGCTAGCAGACACACATGGACGGGACGAGTAGCTACAAGAGACACATGGGCGGGGAGAGTAGCTAGCAGACAAACGTGGGCGGGGCGAGTAGCTAGCAGACACACATGGGCGGGGCAACAAGCTAGCAGACAAAGGTGGGCGGGGCGAGTAGCTACCAGAGACACATGCGGCAGCTAGCTAGCAGACATGGGCGGGGCAAGCTAGCACATGCAGACAAACACGTGGGCGGGGCGAGTAGCTAGCAGACACACATTGACGGGACGAGTAGCTACCAGAGACACGTGGGCGGGGAGACTAGCTAGCAGACAAACGTGGGCGGGGGCGGTAGCTCGCAGACACATGAGCGCTGAGAGTAGCTGTGGTCGGGCGAGTAGCTAGGACAGAACAGAAACTACATGGGCGCTGGGTAGCTAGCCAGACACACATGGGCGGGGCAACTAGCTAGCAGACAAACGTGGGCGGGGCGAGTAGCTGGCAGACAAACGTGGGCGGGGCAGACGACGGGGCAACTAGCTAGCAGACAAACGTGGGCGGGGCGAGTAGCTACCAGAGACACATGGGCGGGGCAACTAGCTAGCAGACCAACGTGGGCGGGGCGAGTAGCTCGCAGACACACATGGGCGGGGCGAGTAGCTACCAGAGACACATGGGCGGGGCAACTAGCTAGCAGACCAACGTGGGCGGGGCGAGTAGCTAGCAGACACATAAGGACGGGACGAGTAGCTACCAGAGACACATGGGCGGGGCAACTAGCTAGCAGACAAACGTGGGCGGGGCAACTAGCTAGCAGACACACGTGGGCGGGGCAACTAGCTAGCAGACAAACGTGGGCGGGGCGAGTAGCTAGCAGGCAAACATGGGCGGGACGAGAAGCTGTGCGAGAAGACAGCAGACAAAAATGCGCAACCAGACGGAAATGGGCGGGACGGGTAGCTGACGGAGGTATTAACTCATGGAGACAGCGAGTCGCATGGATGGGCGAGAAGCTGGCAGGCACATGCGTTGGAGCAGGTAGGTTCTAGACGAATAGCTTGCAAGCACATGGGTTGGACGACTACCGAGTGGCTGGTAGCAAGCAGACACAGGCAAGAAGCCGGCAGCGATTAGCTGGGCGAGAATCTATAAGACATATGGGCTGGGCCGCACTCAACAATATTGCAGCGAGTATCGAGGCAGACACATAATCGAGCTGGTCGAGAAGCTAGCAGACACCCATTGGCTGGGCCAGTTGATGGGTGACATGCTTCAGGCAAACATGGGCGGACGAGAAGCGGTGCGAAGACAGTTCGCGTCTTATGCGCATGGGTTGCTGAAGACCAATTCTAACCCGGATCTTCAAGGGTCACTGGAATACAAGGATCAGCAGTTCATGGCGTGACTGAAAACGGCAACTGTGCATGCGGGGAGAACCGCAGCGTGTTAGACCACTGGAACGCCCTCGAAAAGTGAACGCCCTTAATAAATGTGTCTATTTCTTGAAATAACACTATTTTATGTTACAGCTGGTGAGCAAGTACGCCATGGACGCTGACGCAAAATACATGCTGGACAACTACGACATTTACGTCGTTCCTGTCGCTAATCCTGACGGCTACGAATACACCCATACCAATGTAAGTACACCCACGCCCTTTGTAGTACATCTACATCGTCATAGTGAATACACCCATACCAGTGTAAGTACACCCACGCCCTTTGTAGTACATCTACATCGTCATAGTGAATACACCCATGCGACAGCTACATCGTCACACCCATACCAGTGTAAGTACACCCACGCCCTTTAGTACAGTACATCGTCACATCGTCATACCCAGTGAATACACCCACGCCCTTTGTAGTACATCTACATCGTCATAGTGAATACACCCATACCAGTGTAAGTACACCCACGCCCTTTGTAGTACATCTACATCGTCATAGTGAATACACCCATACCAGTGTAAGTACACCCACGCCCTTTGTAGTACATCTACATCGTCATAGTGAATACACCCATACCAGTGTAAGTACACCCACGCCCTTTGTAATACATCGTCATGAGTGAATACACCCATACCAGTGTAAGTACACCCACGCCCTTTGTAGTACATCTACATCGTCATAGTGAATACACCCATACCAGTGTAAGTACACCCACGCCCTTTGTAGTACATCTACATCGTCATAGTGAATACACCCATGGTGAACACCATGTAAGTACACCCACGCCCCTTTGTAGTACATCTACATCGTCATAGTGAATACACCATACCAGTGTAAGTACACGTTTGTAGGTACATCTACATCGTCATAGTAAGTACACCCACGCCCTTTGTAGTACATCTACATCGTCATAGTGAATACACCCATACCAGTGTAAGTACACCCACGCCCTTTGTAGTACATCTACATCGTCATAGTGAATACACCCATACCAGTGTAAGTACACCCACGCCCTTTGTAGTACATCTACATCGTCATAGTGGATACACCCATGCTACGGATACACCCATACCAGTGTAAGTACACCCACGCCCTTTGTAGTACATCTACATCGTCATAGTGAATACACCCATACCAGTGTAAGTACACCCACGCCCTTTGTAGTACATCTACATCGTCATAGTGGATACACCCATGCTACGAATACACCCATACCAGTGTAAGTACACCCACGCCCTTTGTAGTACATCTACATCGTCATAGTGAATACACCCATACCAGTGTATACACCCAGTACACACCTACACGCCCTTTGTAAGTACACCAACGCCCTTTGTAGTACATCTACATCGTCATAGTGAATACATCGTCATACATCTACATCGTCATAGTGAATACACCCATGCCAGTGTAAGTGTAAGTACACCCGCTACATCTACATCGTCATAGTGAATACACCCATACCAGTGTAAGTACCACGCCCTTTGTAGCACATCTACATCGTCATAGTGAATACACCCATACCAGTGTAAGTACACCCACGCCCTTTGTAGTACATCTACATCGTCATAGTGAATACACCCATGCTACGAATACACCCATACCAGTGTAAGTACACCCACGCCCTTTGTAGTACATCTACATCGTCATAGTGAATACACCCATACCAGTGTAAGTACACCCACGCCCTTTGTAGTACATCTACATCGTCATAGTGAATACACCCATGCTACGGATACACCCCCTTAACGCTTTAAGTACTCCAGTTTGAGTACATCAACGTCACGAGGAAATCTCTCAAGCCCCTGAAATACACCCACACTTCTGTGAATACACATAGGCACGCACGCGCACACACCCTGCGAGTATACACACACCCTGGAGTGAGTGATTTTAGGTTTACGCTGCTTTTAGCAATATCCCAGCAATATCACGGCGGGGGACACCAGAATTGGGCTTCACACATTGTACCCATGTGGGGAATCGAAATCAGGTCTTCGGCGTGGCGAGCAAACGCTTTAACCGCTAGGCTACCCCAACGCCTCAGTAACCATGTAAGTACATAACCACGTGGTACTGTGGGCTTGATCGAATCCTTGAAATTAGGGATCATGATGTAAATATTGTATTCACAGAACAGGCTGTGGAGAAAGAACCGATCTCAACCCCAAGGGAACTGCAGAGGTGTCGATCTCAACAGGAACTTCGACGCATACTGGAACAGTGAGTCTTCACTTCCTGTGACGTCATTTCCTCTATGCTCATGATGCTAACTATAGAGTTGTACTTTCGTATTCTGGGGGATTGTAGTTTCGTTTCCTGGGGGGTTGAAATGGGACCAAAATATGTCCTCGGGTGTTATGTGCGTGTTGCATGTTGAATTTTATTAAGAGGTGTTGGACAAGAAGGGTATATATGTCCCTGTAGGTTAAAGCAGCACGCTTCGGAAAGGGAGTGAGTGAGTGACTTTTGTTTAAAGCCGCTTTTAGCAATCTCCCAGCAATATCATCAGGGCGGGGGACACCAGAATTGGGCTTCACACATTGTACCCATGTGGGGATTCGAACCCGGGTCTTCGGCGTGACGAGCGAACGCTTTAACCACTAGGCTACCCCACCGCCCCCAAAACAAGAACAAAAAGAACTCGGGTCCTCGGGGCCCTTTCGGAAAGGGGTTTACAATATGTGTTGTAGCTTTCGTTGTTCTTGATATCAACCACTCGTCTATCATTTCCGCGCCTCGGTTATCTGAAGGCTGATCTGATCATACAGAAACAGAGCTGGGTCCCTATCCACAAAGCGTTCGTAGCGCTATGACGTTCGTAAACCATGGGGAACTGTAAAGTTACGACAGGTCGTAACGTTACGAATACTTTGTGGATCAGACTAGCTATTCTCGAACGTTCGTAGGCCCCACGAACTTCGTAAGCCCATTCTTAACACGTTGCCTACGATCAAAGTTAAGAATTCTTATGGCTACGAACGCTTCGAGAATAAAGGCCCAGGATCCTGGCATGTACTTACCAATGACGTGGTTATGACGTTACTTTCACAGCCGTCGGCGTCAGTAACCAGTGCTCGAGCGACATCTACTGCGGTACGTCGGTGTTCTCAGAGGCCGAGGCCCAGGCTATCAGGAACAAAGTGTCAGAGATCAACTCCGGAGGTCAACGTCTTCTCGCTTACCTTGCTGTCCACTCGTACTCGCAGCTGTTGCTTACGCCCTATTCGTACGCAAACGACCGCCCGGGCAACGCCGCCGAAGTGGTGAGATGATCATTCAGAAAAATACGATTATAACGAACTCGCAGCTGTTGCTTACGCCCTATTCGTACGCAAAAGTCCGCCCGGACAACGCCGGCGAAGTGGTGACATGATCATTATAATAATAATAATGCTGAAAATTTATATAGCGCTAAATCCAACCTCTAAGTGGGTGCTTAATTATGTCAAATATGATTATAACAAACTTAAAGTCACCACAAATTTCCGTTCGCTATAACCGTTGTTCCTTATACGTATTTCGGATTAAGAGTAAGTGAATGAGTATGGTTTTACAACGCTTTTAGCAATATTCCAGCAATATCACGGCGGGGTACGCCAAAATTGGGCTTCATACATTATACCAATGTTGGCAATCGAACCTGGGCCTTCGGCTTGACGAGCGAACGCTTTATCCACTAGGCTACCCCACCGCCCCATTTCTTATGCGTCAGTTTGTTCTCAGAGGCCGAGACAAACTAGTGATGGATGTCATAAGAACATTCAGCCAAGTCAGCGAGCCTGACCACCCGGTCCCGTTAGTCGCTTCTTATGGCAAGCATGGGTTACTGAAGATCAATTCTAACACGGATCTTCACGGCTCGTTGCTTATAAACGTAGTTTACGGTACAATAACCTTCTCGAATGGTCCACAAATTTTAGTTCCCTGTAACCATAGTTCCTTATACTCATATCGACTAATATATACGGCAAGTGGTCTGGTGCAAAATAAAGTTTTGTTATATCCTTTCACTGGCTTTAAAGGTGTTAGTTATAAACGGAGTTTACTGTATATACACTAAACGCCAAAAGAAACGTTACCCTCCTTCCTTAATTTCTTAAAATCTACTCAAGTGAGGACGAAACTTTCTGATGCATGGAGATCCTCTTCTTGGTCAGTCTACGGTGACCCAAGTCTGTCTGTAGCCCTGAATAAGTCTTATAACCATGATACGGTGGCATCCGAGGGCGTTGGCAACAGCATTGTATGTCCACCCCATCTGCAACATCCCAATGGCTCTTTCTCTCTCTTCAGCTGTTAATCCTGGCATATTTCTCGTACTTGTGTATCATATCATGCATTCTAGGCTCTCTTCATACCCTGGAGAATCATTCTTCACATGAAATGGAGGCATATACTGCTTGAATATTGCTACGCTTTGGCGACTGATATTGCTGTGTAAACACAAAATGGAAAAATGTTACTTTGCAAGCAAAAATGTTAACAAAGATAATTTTAGATGTTCCTAAGCACTTTTTCACAATATCAAAGATACGTTTTATTTGTTTTCACTGATTCAAATCAGCAGAAAATGTTTTAAAAGACTCAAATCATAGGAATGATCCTTTTACAATTTTCCACACTCTACAACAGTTGTTTCTTGATTTAATAGTTGAAAAATAGTTTATCTTTGTCTCAAAGCAGCATATTATTTCATCCTTTCTTTTGGACATCTAAATCACTGTTATTGGTTTATTTCGGCATGGACAATTTAACTCTTCTGAAAAAGATGCATTTCACCTAAATATTAATGCATTTGAAAAATGTTTTTTCGTGACTTGCATAAAGCACGTAGCTTTCGTGTAAACTAATACCTTCTAACATGTCTTTGATATTTTTTCAGTAATTCATAAAGGTAGGAGGGTAACGTATCTAGTGGCGTCTAGAGTATGTTGTTCTTAGGCAACGTTGTTGCTAGGTTTATTTGTAGTGATTGTCAGTAGTCAGTGTAATTGAAAGAATCATCTTCGCTAATAACGGGTATTATATCTCCAGTATATATGTTTGCTGTCTTGCTTTCGTTTTAGTCGAATTACTGCCTTCAGCACGAGAAACAGGCTTCCCACATTGTAATCGCGTGAAAAACCGAGCCCAGGTCTTCGGTTTGGCGACCTGTGAAGTTCCGAGTTAGAATTAACCTTAAGTAACCTGTTCTTGTCGTAAGAGGCGACATACGGGATAGGGTGGTCATGCTCACCGACTTGGTTGACACATGTCATCGTATCCCAATACGATGCTCTTGCTGTTGATCACTGGATTGTCTGATGAAGGCTCGGTTATGTACAGACCTCCTCCATACAGCTGGAATATTGCAGAGTGCGGCGTATCGGCTTGGCTTGCGAACGCTTGAAGCACTAGGCTACATCACTGGCCCTCAAATACCAGCAACAGACATCCAGTACGTATGTAATACAAGCAACAGACATCCAGTACGTATGTAATACAAGCAACAGACATCCAGTACGTATGTAATACAAGCAACAGACATCCAGTACGTATGTAATACAAGCAACAGACATCAAGTACGTATGTAATACCAGCAGCAGACATCCAGTACGTATGTAATACCAGCAACAGACATCCAGTACGTATGTAATACAAGCAACAGACATCCAGTACGAATGTAATACCAGCAACAGACATCCAGTACGTATGTAATACCAGCAGCAGACATCCAGTACGTATGTAATACCAGCAACAGACATCCAGTACGTATGAAATACAAGCAACAGACATCCAGTACGTATGTAATACAAGCAGCGACATGCCCACTATTCGACTCGTTGTCGATTAAACTGACTTACAAAAGAAAGCACACATCAGGTGTTTGGGGCTTATATAAATTACCCGAAATTGTCGATAGACCCGAATGTGTGTACTTTCTTTTGTGCGTCAGTTTACACATGGGTGGTAGTGTTATGACGTCATAGACCGTGGAGAATCATGATGGATGTTTCTCTGTGAAGGTGTGTGATATTGTTTTTGCATCCAGGACGCCGTTGCTGAGCTGATGAACGACGCGCTAAAGGCGCCATTCGGAACTAACTACATATGGGGCCATGGACCTGATGTGCTGTGTAAGTACTGAGGTCTCGTTAAAACGCCATCTCAAGACCATGATCTTTACAAATGTGACCAAGTCTCGTTACTATGCCATCAGCGAAACTTTGTGTATACTGTAGCGACGTTATAACGGGAAGCAGAAAACAAACAGAAAAGCGACGGTGTCGCTGACCTAAAGTAATAATCCTCGTTCAGGGCTAACTAATGTGCTGTTCCGTTTGACGTGTCTTCCCCCTACGTTAGGACAAACGTTACGGAGAAAACAAATGACAAATGACAGTTTACAAATCACGTGACATTCCACGGACTCCACGGATTCTGTAGGACACAGGGCATAGGCATAATTAGCAACGTTGTCGCAGTTTAATTGTAAGTCGAGCTGAACCATTATTCCCATCGTAAGAATTAAATGTATCGTTTCCACCAGTGATGTTAGCCGAGTGAAGCAACTACAAACCAACAAATAGGCGCTACGGAGTTAGTTACACTGAAGGAGACTGCACTTGGCAAAGACACCCCACATGCATCTTGACGTCGGTTACCAAGGGCAGACTAGAAGGGCGTATAGTGACGTCAATACTTTGTGACGTAATGGCTTTGATGTTTTAGACCGAGAATGAGACCACGATCTATACAAATATGATCACGTCTCGGTATGACACCATTAGTGAAACTTGGTTTTATTGCACTGTACTATATTTAGGCTAGGGCTTGCTACGAGAAAGAAAGTTACTTTTAAACCTCAAAATTTTCACAATAACTCAGACTAATTATTACTTTATACAGTCAAACAAGGTTGTGTCCATGTTGAACGGACTAAAGAATTTACTTCGAGTTATTTAGGTAAGGAATACGCGGGAACCAAGTTGATACTTCGAGACAACAGTAAGTTCGGCACAATGATATTTTTGCTATGCATTGAAACTTTACTCGACCACTTTACAGACCCAGTGTCCGGTGCTAGCGACGACTGGGCGATGCTAAGCGGTGGTGCAAGGTACGTCTACACCTACGAACTGAGACCCAAGTCAAACAATCCCGGCTTCACCATCGGCGCTGAATACATTATCCCCAACGGCTACGAGTTCTGGCTCTCCACGGTCGCCATGGCATGCAACATGAACGCGGGGGCACCGAACTGCAACTTCTAATTATGCAAACACGCCGACCTCTTACATATCCACAAAAAAATGGTATCTATTATCGCTATGGTGAATCCCTTGATGATGCCTAGTCATTATAACGTAATAATGAAATGACGTCATATAATATGACGTCACCTCGATCGCGTTTTAGCTTGATGATTATGAACAATATCCAAGAATATACAACCGATATCGACCTCTACAAGAGTCTATAATTGTATAATATCCGAGATTTGTAGAACTCGTTTATATTACGAATCCTGTACATTAAAGAAAAGTTTCGAGAGTGTAAATTTGATTAACAACGTTTCTGATTCTGTGACGCGTAACCGAGGTCTTTCTTGCTGAAATAAATGTGTCCTTAATCTCTTATCTTTCTGGCACAAGGAAATGTTTTGTTTGTTTGGCTGTTGTTTACCTCCCAATCTGGAAATATTTCAGCAATGTGGAACTCTGGAAATAATGGATTTATAATCAGGCAAACCGGTGGTCGGCACAATGAACAACGATGGCACATGGGCCAAACTTGACTGTCCGAATCAGTGGACCTTATTCAGATATCTTAAATGCATGGTTTAGTTCATAAACAAAGTACCCGTGAAGATCCGGGTTGGAATTGGTCTTCAGCAACCCATGCTTGTTGTGAGAGAAGACGAAGGGTATCGGGTGGTCAGGCTCGCTGACTTGGTTGATACGTCAAGCCAGCTGAAGGATATAACGAAACTTAATTTTGCACCCGACCACTTGCCGTATATTTTAATCGAAGGAACTATGGTTACAGGGAACTAACATTTGTGGCCCATTCAAGAAGGCTATTGTACCGTAAACTACGTTTATAAGCAACAAGCCGTGAAGATCCGTGTTAGAATTGGTCTTCAGTAACCCATGCTTGCCATAAGAGGCGACTAACGGGACCGGGTGGTCAGGCTCGCTGACTTGGCTGATTGTGGCGTTAAGCAACCAAAAAGTAAACAAACATGTGCTCATGACATCCATCACTAGTTTGTCAGGTACAGATATTTGAAGGCACCTGCATGAACAATGTAAAAACTGACTTGGTTGACACATCGTATCCCAATTGCGCAGATCGATGCTCATGATGTTGATCAGAGGATTGTCTGGTCCAGACTCAATTATTAACAGACTGCCGCCGTGAAGCTGGAATACTGCAGCATTACACAACAAACAGATATTAACAAAGTATTGTAAAACGTAGACAAGGTTCCACGAAACTGACATTATTTCTCGAGTGTGTGAAATTAAATCTTACAAACAAGGTCAGAATTCTTGCATTTTCCGAGCCAGAGCAAAACATATTTTTAGTTTCAGCGTGAATATGATACACGCGCGAATATATGCATAATGAGTTTCGTTATGTGTCTCTTTCCAAATTGAAGTTAAAGCTATTACAAATATGTTATGCTTCATCTTCTTTCAAAACACATCTGCAAAAAATTGTCGAATGACGTCAACACATTCAACTCTGACGTCGTTTCTAGTGTGACGTCGTTTCTAGTGTGACGTCGTTTGAACCTTACATCACAATGGAATTCAAGGCCGTCCTGGGGCCCGATCCACAAAATGTTAGTGGCGCTACGATATTCGTAAACCTACGATAAACTATAGAGTTACTACAGGTCGCAACTTTACGAACGCTTTGTGGATCGGGAGGCTGATGACATGAACAGTTCAGTGGTGATTCAGCTCTCATATGTTTTTCATGGACTCGTTTGTTTCCAGCCCTTTTTGCTAAAAAAACCTAGCTAACCTTGCATTTGTGTATGTTATGGCTTTATAGTAATTAAGTATTTCCCGCTGAAAAATATTTCAACTTTGGCTTTATATATACTGCGTCAAAAAAGAAACGTCACATTCTTTCTTCAGGGCACTTTAAAAGAACAAGAGATGGTAAGATGGTTAAATTGTTATTATTTCATTGCTGAGATCTGTGTGATGTACTCGATACACTGACAGTGCCATAATCAGTTCCATTAGGCTACACCGCCGTTCCAAAACATGGGTATACAGAATGTCAAGTCACAAGAATAAAAATGCGAAATTTCTCAGATTTTTAATATCGTGTATGGCCACCCCGCGCATTCACCACTGCCAAACACCGTCTCCTCATCGACTGCCTGATGCTTGTGAACACGTGGTTTGGGATTCTGCGCCATTGCTCTTGCAAGGCAGCGCCAAGTTCCTGCAAATTCTGAGGTTGGTTCCTAAGACCACGAAGCCTTCTCCCAAGTGCATCCCAAACGTGCTCTATTGGATTAAGGTCAGGGGACCTCGATGGCCAGTCCATGACGTTGATTCCAGCGTTTTGAAGGAAATTTCGTGTCAACATCGCGGTATGCGGCCGAGCATTATCAACTGAAGTAGACCTGGGCCATGAGCCGCCATGAAAGGAACGAGTTCAGGGTGAGCACCTGGTCGCGGTAAGCAGCAGCTGTGAGGTTTCCACGGATGACCAGAAGTCGGGAACGGTTGTTCCCACAGAAAGCACCCCACACCATGCAACTTCCGCCCCGAATCTGTCGACTTCCTGTACACAACATTGGGCATACCGTTCACGACGTCGTCTCCAGACTCTATGCCTGCCGTCCGCGAATCTGAGGGTAAACCTGGATTCATCGCTAAAGACGACTCGATTCCAGTCTCTCTGGGTCCATCGGAGGTGACGTTGGGCCCACAGCAGACGTTGACGTTGATGAAACGGCGTCAATATTGGCCCACGATATGGACGTCGAGAATGAAGATTGGCAGCCCGCAACCGATTTCGAATGGTCTGAGAGGACAGTCGACCTCTAAAACATCTCAGCCCTGGTTCGTGTAGCCGGCAGAAATCTGTCACGTAGGTGACGTAGGACGATTTGACGGTCTTCTGCCCGTGACGTCACACGTGGACGACCCGACCTTGGGCGATCAGAAGTGGTGCCAGTTTGTTGTAGACGACCTCGCAAGTCATACACAGTACGACGGCTGCATCCCATTGCTCTTGCGACGTCAATAACTGATCTTCCCGCTTGCAACATGCCAACGGCACGTTCACGTTGCACGTTTGACAATCGTGGCATTTCAAGTACCGTTAGAACTGTGGTTTAAAAGTGTTTTTTTCAATTCTTGAGGCCAATGCAAACACGTGCATATGAAGAAAACTTCGATGCGAAGATCACGTGATCGACTGCACGTGCAAAACCTGATTTGGCACTAACATCATTTGCACGACGAATGGATGGGTTTTAGTGGGTTTTGCTAACGTTTTTCTAGAGTCGAAAGATAGGGATCCCATTTCGGATACATAGATGTATCAACAGAGAAACATTATTCATTATTTTTCAAATTACATTTTGTGAAGTTTCTTTTTTGACTCTGTATATTTAAGCTTACTTTTTATAGTGTATATTTTACAATTACAAAGACCATATTAAGTTGATTATTGCTGTTGCCTTTAAGTGTAATATTTTCATGAGAGACGTCAGTATTTCCTTCAGATGACATATCAAGCCAACTGGATACTTCCTTCCATATGTTCACAGTATATGGACATTCAAATAATAAACGTATTATTATTTCATGAGTGATTCACAGAAAGAGAATCAAGGGAAATCAGGATATTTCATTAAATAAAAATTTGTATTTGTAAAAAATACTAACCCTGTAAAGTTTATATTCCAAACACACACATGCAAATGAGAGCGCAATTTATTGATTCATACACAGTTAAAAGGGCCTCACTCTCTTTGAACATAACTTTCAAAGTAATCTTTCGTTTTAATGCAAAATCTCTAAAAGCATCAAAGAACGCACGCCTATGCGTGCACAAATCCGTTTCTGAAAATTCAACAAAGACGTTGAATAAGAACAATGTATACAAGTCGAGTTTTTAACAATAACGTGAATGGCGTAAGACTTCATGAAGCGTAGCGTCTCGACTGCTTGGTTAGGTGGAAAAAATCAAGATGGTGGCTTTTTTGTTGACGGTGGTGGCATGGGGGGTGCACACGTCGTCAGGGTTTGTTCCACCGCCCTCCTTTAAAACAAACTTCCTACAGTCGTCTATGACAGGGACAACGACCACACTCCTCGAGAACAGACAAGGTATTTTCTAGTGAACACCTAGTGTTATCACGGATTTTCAGTGATCCATTTCTATCATTTCATGACAGTTTTTATCTTTACGACCAGGGCGTTGGAGTAGCCTAGCGGTTAAAGCGTTCGCTCGTCACGCCGAAGACCTGGCCTCGATTCCCCACATGGGTATAATGTGTGAAGCCCTTTTCTGGTGTCTCCCTCCGTGATAGTGCTGGAATATTGCTAAAAGCGGCTTTAAACCATACTCACTCACTCACTCACTCACTCACTATCTTTGTGACGAGTGAATGCTTCCCTCGCATATTTAACTGATTATGTGTTTGTTGTTTTACGCTGCACTCAGCAATATTCCAGCTATATAGCGGTGGTCTGTAAATAATCGAGGCTGGACCAGATAATCCAGTGATTGACATCATGAGCGTCAATCAGCGCAGTTGAGATATAATGACATGCGTCAACCAAGTCAGCGAGTCTGACCACCGGATCCCGTAAGTCGCCTCTTACGAAAAGAATGGTTTACTGAAGATCAATTAAAAACTCGGATCTTCACGGGTCCACATTGTACTGACGCGCCCTGGTATAACTGGAATATTGTTCAAAGTTGCCCTAAAAGGTTTCCGTAGTTTAGGGAAGCCTTCGTTACAGATTTGTTCTAATCGCCATTAAACCCCCTCCAGTTCATTGAAACATATGGGGCGGTGGGGTAGCCTAGTGGTTCAAGACCCGGGTTCGATGCCCCACATGGGTACAATGTGTGAAGCCCATTTGTGGTGTCCCCTTGCTGGTATATTGCTAAATGAAAAGTAAAACTAAACTCACTCACTCACTGAAACATATGATGGTTTTACAGACGCGACAGATGAGACTGTGAAGAGGTTCGAGAAATCTCTGGCAGTTATTATGAAGAAGATGGATTCTCTGGAATCAAAGCAAACAGAACAAGGTAAAGCATGTATACATAAACATTTAAATCACTAGGCTGCCCCCACCCTCCCTCTATGCATTAATGTGTACCTTAGTATGGAAGTCTTTTATGGTCATTTTCTTGGGGTTTTGTAGTTTTTCTTGAAATTTCAAAAATACA